TCTAACTTTTAATAAACAGTATGGCTGGTTTCACGTCTTGTATTCTTCTAACTTTTAATAAACAGTATGGCTGGTTTCACGTCTGGTATTCTTCTAACTTTTAATAAACAGTATGGCTGGTTTCACGTCTTGTATTCTTCTAACTTTTAATAAACAGTATGGCTGGTTTCACGTCTTGTATTCTTCTAACTTTTAATAAACAGTATGGCTGGTTTCACGTCTGGTATTCTTCTAACTTTTAATAAACAGTATGGCTGGTTTCACGTCTTGTATTCTTCTAACTTTTAATAAACAGTATGGCTGGTTTCACGTCTTGTATTCTTCTAACTTTTAATAAACAGTATGGCTGGTTTCACGTCTGGTATTCTTCTAACTTTTAATAAACAGTATGGCTGGTTTCACGTCTTGTATTCTTCTAACTTTTAATAAAAGAGTATGGCTGGTTTCACGTCTTGTATTTTTCTAACTTTTAATAAACAGTATGGCTGTTTTCACGTCTGGTATTCTTCTAACTTTTAATAAACAGTATGGCTGGTTTCACGTCTTGTATTCTTCTAACTTTTAATAAACAGTATGGCTGGTTTCACGTCTTGTATTTTTCTAACTTTTAATAAACAGTATGGCTGGTTTCACGTCTGGTATTCTTCTAACTTTTAATAAACAGTATGGCTGGTTTCACGTCTTGTATTCTTCTAACTTTTAATAAACTGTATGGCTGGTTTCACGTCTTGTATTCTTCTAACTTTTAATAAACTGTATGGCTGGTTTCACGTCTTGTATTCTTCTAACTTTTAATAAACAGTATGGCTGGTTTCACGTCTGGTATAAACATTATGGCTTTTCTAATTTTTCTAACTTTTAATAAACAGTATGGCTGGTTTCACGTCTGGTATTCTTCTAACTTTTAATAAACAGTATGGCTGGTTTCACGTCTGGTATTCTTCTAACTTTTAATAAACAGTATGGCTGGTTTCACGTCTTGTATTCTTCTAACTTTTAATAAAATGTATGGCTGGTTTCACGTCTGGTATTCTTCTAACTTTTAATAAACAGTATGGCTGGTTTCACGTCTTGTATTCTTCTTTTTAATAAACAGTAACGTCTTTATTCTTCTAACTTTTAATAAACAGTATGGCTGGTTTCACGTCTTGTATTCTTCTAACTTTTAATAAACAGTATGGCTGGTTTCACGTCTTGTATTCTTCTAACTTTTAATAAACAGTATGGCTGTTTTCCACGTCTGGTATTCTTCTAACTTTAATAAACAGTATGGCTTTTCACGTCTTGTATTCTTCTAACTTTTAATAAACAGTATGGCTGGTTTCACGTCTGGTATTCTTCTAACTTTTAATAAACAGTATGGCTGGTTTTCACGTCTGGTTCTTCTAACTTTTAATAAAACTTTATGGCTGGTTTCACGTCTTGTATTCTTCTAACTTTTAATAAACAGTATGGCTGGTTTCACGTCTTGTATTCTTCTAACTTTTAATAAACAGTATGGCTGGTTTCACGTCTGGTATTCTTCTAACTTTTAATAAACAGTATGGCTGGTTTCACGTCTGGTATTCTTCTAACTTTTAATAAACAGTATGGCTGGTTTCACGTCTTGTATTTTTCTAACTTTTAATAAACAGTATGGCTGGTTTCACGTCTTGTATTCTTCTAACTTTTAATAAACAGTATGGCTGGTTTCACGTCTTGTATTCTTCTAACTTTTAATAAACAGTATGGCTGGTTTCACGTCTTGTATTTTTCTAACTTTTAATAAACAGTATGGCTGGTTTCACGTCTGGTATTCTTCTAACTTTTAATAAACAGTATGGCTGGTTTCACGTCTTGTATTCTTCTAACTTTTAATAAACAGTATGGCTGGTTTCACGTCTTGTATTCTTCTAACTTTTAATAAACAGTATGGCTGGTTTCACGTCTTGTATTCTTCTAACTTTTAATAAACTGTATGGCTGGTTTCACGTCTTGTATTCTTCTAACTTTTAATAAACAGTATGGCTGGTTTCACGTCTTGTATTCTTCTAACTTTTAATAAACAGTATGGCGGTTTCACGTCTGGTATTCTTCTAGCTTTTAATAAACTGATTACCTGGTTTCACGTTTTGTATTTTTCTAACTTTTAATAAACTGTATGGCTGGTTTCACGTCTTTTATTTCTTCTAACTTTTAATAAACAGTATGGCTGGTTTCACGTCTGGTATTCTTCTAACTTTTAATAAACAGTATGGCTGGTTTCACGTCTGGTATTCTTCTAACTTTTAATAAACTGTATGGCTGGTTTCACGTCTGGTATTCTTCTAACTTTTAATAAACAGTATGGCTGGTTTCACGTCTTGTATTCTTCTAACTTTTAATAAACAGTATGGCTGGTTTCACGTCTGGTATTCTTCTAACTTTTAATAAACAGTATGGCTGGTTTAGTACGTCTTGTATTCTTTTAACTTTTAATAAACAGTATGGCTGGTTTCACGTCTGGTATTCTTCTAACTTTTAATAAACAGTATGGCTGGTTTCACGTCTTGTATTCTTCTAACTTTTAATAAACTGTATGGCTGGTTTCACGTCTTGTATTCTTCTAACTTTTAATAAACAGTATGGCTGGTTTCACGTCTTGTATTCTTCTAACTTTTAATAAACAGTGGCTATTTCACGTCTGGTATTCTTCTAACTTTTAATAAACAGTATGGCTGTATTCTTCTTCTAACTTTTAATAAACAGTATGGCTGGTTTCACGTCTGGTATTCTTCTAACTTTTAATAAACAGTATGGCTGGTTTCACGTCTGGTATTCTTCTAACTTTTAATAAACAGTATGGCTGTTTCACGTCTGGTTTCACGTCTTTTATTGGCTGGTTTAACGTTTTAACTTTTAATAAACTGTATGGCTGGTTTCACGTCTTGTATTCTTCTAACTTTTAATAAACTGTATGGCGGTTTCACGTCTGGTATTCTTCTAGCTTTTAATAAACTGATTACCTGGTTTCACGTTTTGTATTTTTCTAACTTTTAATAAACAGTATGGCTGGTTTCACGTCTTGTATTCTTCTAACTTTTAATAAACAGTATGGCTGGTTTCACGTCTTGTATTCTTCTAACTTTTACATACGTCTGTAGTTCTTCTAACTTTTAATAAACAGTATGGCTGGTTTCACGTCTGGTATTCTTCTAACTTTTAATAAACAGTATGGCTGGTTTCACGTCTTGTATTCTTCTAACTTTTAATAAACAGTATGGCTGGTTTCACGTCTGGTATTCTTCTAACTTTTAATAAACAGTATGGCTGGTTTCACGTCTGGTATTCTTCTAAGTTTTAATAAAATGTATGGCTGGTTTCACGTCTTGTATTCTTCTAACTTTTAATAAACAGTATGGCTGGTTTCACGTCTGGTATTCTTCTAACTTTTAATAAACAGTATGGCTGGTTTCACGTCTGGTATTCTTCTAACTTTTAATAAACTGTATGGCTGGTTTCACGTCTTGTATTCTTCTAACTTTTAATAAACAGTATGGCTGGTTTCACGTCTGGTATTCTTCTAACTTTTAATAAACAGTATGGCTGGTTTTCTTCACGTGGTGTCTTGTATTCTTCTAACTTTTAATAAACAGTATGGCTGGTTTCACGTCTGGTATTCTTCTAACTTTTAATAAACAGTATGGCTGGTTTCACGTCTTGTATTCTTCTAACTTTTAATAAACAGTATGGCTGGTTTCACGTCTTGTATTCTTCTAACTTTTAATAAACAGTATGGCTGGTTTCACGTCTGGTATTCTTCTAACTTTTAATAAACAGTATGGCTGGTTTCACGTCTTGTATTCTTCTAACTTTTAATAAACTGTATGGCTGGTTTCACGTCTTGTATTCTTCTAACTTTTAATAAACAGTATGGCTGTATGGCTGGTTTCACGTCTTGTATTCTTCTAACTTTTAATAAACACGGTTCACGTCTTGTATTCTTCTAACTTTTAATAAACTGTATGGCTGGTTTTAATAACGTCTGGTATTTTTCTAACTTTTAATAAACAGTATGGCTGGTTTCACGTCTGGTATTCTTCTAACTTTTCTAAACTTATGGCTGTTTCATCTTGTATTCTTCTAACTTTTAATAAACTGTATGGCTGGTTTCACGTCTTGTATTCTTCTAACTTTTAATAAACAGTATGGCTGGTTTCACGTCTTGTATTCTTCTAACTTTTAATAAACAGTATGGCTGGTTTCACGTCTTGTATTTTTCTAACTTTTAATAAACAGTATGGCTGGTTTCACGTCTGGTATTCTTCTAACTTTTAATAAACAGTATGGCTGGTTTCACGTCTTGTATTTTTCTAACTTTTAATAAACTGTATGGCTGGTTTCACGTCTTGTATTCTTCTAACTTTTAATAAACTGTATGGCTGGTTTCACGTCTTGTATTCTTCTAACTTTTAATAAACAGTATGGCTGGTTTTCACGTCTGTATAACTTTTAATAAACAGTATCTGGTTTCACGTCTGTATTCTTTTAATAAACACAGTATGGCTGGTTTCACGTCTTGTATTCTTCTAACTTTTAATAAACTGTATGGCTGGTTTCACGTCTGTATATTCTTCTAACTTTTAATAAACAGTATGGCTGGTTTCACGTCTTGTATTCTTCTAACTTTTAATAAACAGTATGGCTGGTTTCACGTCTTGTATTTTTCTAACTTTTAATAAACTGTATGGCTGGTTTCACGTCTTGTATTCTTCTAACTTTTAATAAACTGTATTGCTGGTTTCACGTCTTGTACTCTTCTAACTTTTAATAAACAGTATGGCTGGTTTCACGTCTTGTATTTTTCTAAGTTTTTATAAACAGTATGGCTGGTTTCACGTCTTGTACCTGGTTTCACGTCTTGTATTCTTCTAACTTTTAATAAAACTTTTAGTATGGCTGGTTTCACGTCTTGTAGGGGGAGAACATTCTAACTTTTAATAAAAAAAAATGGCTGGTTTCACGTCTGGTATTCTTCTAACTTTTTTAACAACAGTATGGCTGGTTTCACGTCTTGTATTCTTTCTAAACTTTTTCTTTCCATATGGCTGAGTTTCAACGTCTCGCTATTCTTCTAACTTTGAAACTGAATAAACAGTATGGCTGGTTTCACGTCATGTATTCTTCTTAACTTTTAATAAAGAGTAAACCTGCCGCTGGTTTCATGTCTAAGATTGTAAACCTGCCGCTGTTCTTTCTGTGTTTAATAAACAGTATGGCCTGGTTTCACGTCTTTCTATCTTGGAACTTTTAATAAACAGTATGGCTGTTCTTTCTATGCCGTTGTTCTTTCTATGTTTGAGATTGAACCTAAACATGCCGCTGTTCTTTCTGTGTGCTGTTCTTTCTATGTTTGAGATTGAACCTAAATTTGCTGCTGTTCTTTCTATGTTTGAAACTGAACCTAAACCTGATGCTGTTATTTCTATGTTTGAGATTGAACATAAACCCGCCGCTGTTCTTTCCATGTTTGAGATTGAACCTAAACCTGCCACTGTTCTTTCTATGTTTAAGATGGAACCTAAAGCTGCTGCTGTTCTTTTCATGATTGAGATTGAACTTAAACCTGCCGCTGTTCTTTCCATGTTTGAGATTGAACCTAAACCTGCCACTGTTCTTTCTATGTTTAAGATTGTACATAAACCTGCCGCTGTTCTTTCTATGTTTGAGATTGAATTTAAACCTGTCACTGTTCTTTCTATGTTTGAGATAAGGCAGACACACCAAGATAAGGCAGACACACCAAGGTAAGGCATTCACACCAAGATATGCCATTCACACCAAGATAAGGCATTCACACCAAGATAAGGCATTAACACCAAGATATGGCATTCACACCAAGGTATGGCATTCACACCAAGATAAGGCATTCACACCAAGATAAGGCATTAACACCAAGATAAGGCAGACACACCAAGGTAAGGCATTCACACCAAGATATGGCATTCACACCAAGATAAGGCATTAACACCAAGATAAGGCAGACACACCAAGGTAAGGCATTCACACCAAGATATGGCATTCACACCAAGATAAGGCATTCACACCAAGATAAGGCATTAACACCAAGATAAGGCAGACACACCAAGATAAGGCAGAGAGACACCAAGATAAGACAGACACACCAAGATAAGGCAGACACACCAGGATAAGGCAGACAGACACCAAGATAGGGCAGACACACCAAGATCAGACAGACTGACACGAAGATAAGGCAGACACACCAAGATAAGGCATTAACACCAAGATAAGGCAGACACACCAAGATAAGGCAGACACACGAAGGTAAGGTAGACACACCAAGATAAGGCCGACACACCAAGATAAGGCAGACACATGAAATTAAGGCAGAACACAAAGGTAAGACAGACATAAAGGTAAGCAGATACACAAAGATAAGGCAGAACACGAAGATAAGGCAGTCACACGAAGGTGAGGCAAAACAGACACATGAAGGTAAGGCAGACATATGAAGGTAAGGCAGACACATGAAGATAAGGCAGACACATGAAGGTAAGGCAGACACACGAAGGTAAGGCAGACACTTGAAGGTAAGGCAGTCATGAAGGTGAGGCAGAAAAATAAAGGTAAGGCAGACACATGAAGGCAAGGCAGACACATGAAGGTAAGGCAGACACATTAAGGTAAGGCAGACACATAAAGGTAAGGCAGACACATGAAGGTAAGGCAGACACATGAAGGTAAGGCAGACACATGAAGGTGAGGCAGACACATGAAGGTAAGGCAGTCATGAAGGTGAGGCAGAAAAATGAATGTAAGGTAGACACATGAATGTAAGGCAGACACATGAAGGTAAGGCAGACACATTAAGGTAAGGCAGACACATAAAGGTAAGGCAGACACATGAAGGTAAGGCAGACACATGAAGGTAAGGCAGTCATGAAGGTGAGGCAGAAAAATGAAGGTAAGGTAGATGCACGAAGACAACGCGAAGTTAAGGCAGTGCAGCCACTGTTGCGAATAGAAACCAGAGATTAGTTCATGTTCTACAAACAGCCAGACCGACACTGTATTGCCAAGTCGTCTGCAAGCTCTAATCCCTAGTGCGTGTACTTTTTATGATAGAATCCTAGCAATCATACGCCCTAATCCCCTCACAAAAGGCCCACATTTTTCTCTTTCTTTTATTTTACAGCTAAAAGCATACAATTTTCATTATAACAAGAATAGTTTCTTCTTTGTATTTGGCGGTGAGAATTTAAATTCGCACACATTGTTTATTCAATTAATTACAGAAACCAGACGGTGTCTTAAAGATCCAACGTGATCGCATATTCAAAACAACGTTTTCCCGTTGTAAAGTTCAATCATGCGGACAAAGGCAATACGTTGCACAATTTATTGCTTGGCATATTCCGTTGTATCTCGTCAGTTGCGTTCCTACAGTTAAACCAACATGTCAAGTAAGGGACCCGTCTCCATGCCTTTAGGTGTAGGGGTACGAAGATCTATGCAGGCTAGACATTTTTGTTTAGACCGAACAAAGAAGTTAAATTGGGGTCCCTGAAAAGGGTCTTGTGTTTTGACCCGCTGGGTCGCAGACTTATCGATTTCGAGGTGGTGTGGAAGGTGACGGCCCAGGTACAATCAGAGATCGCTCGCCTGCAAACCAGCTAAAACCAGAAAGATAGCACATAAACCAAAAGGCACCGGTCGGAAGAAGATAATTGAACAAATAAGCATGAATCAACTACGCCAAAAGGATCTAACTAAACACAGCTCAGGAACAAGGACACAATTAAAACCAAGCCCCAGTGGCAGGTTGAAGCTGTCCAAAAAATTTTGTTCCCCCATTTATTACGGATTTAGACCAAACAGCACTTGCTGGGTGATAAGGTCAGCATCACGCCGGCTGCCTTTACTTCCGAAGACTGTACCTGGTACCCTTTCAAGGCTGGGTCGACCTGAAACTAGCACATTATTAAGCATAGATTTATAAGCCTGAACTTTCCTGGTTTGTGTAAACAAAAACACCACGTGACAAATTTAAAGTTCTCGAGGTAACCATGTACCTTATTCGGTGGAGAGCTGTATAGCCTACTGTGACAGACTGTGTTTGTGTTTCGGTGGAGAGCTGTATAGCCTACTGTGACAGACTGTGTTTGTGTTTCGGTGGAGAGCTGTATAGCCTACTGTGACAGACTGTGTTTGTGTTTCGGTGGAGAGCTGTATAGCCTACTGTGACAGACTGTGTTTGTGTTTCGGTGGAGAGCTGTATAGCCTACTGTGACAGACTGTGTTTGTGTTTCGGTGGAGAGCTGTATAGCCTACTGTGACAGACTGTGTTTGTGTTTCGGTGGAGAGCTGTATAGCCTACTGTGACAGATTGTGTTTGTGTTTCGGTGGAGAGCTGTATAGCCTACTGTGACAGACTGTGTTTGTGTTTCGGTGGAGAGCTGTATAGCCTACTGTGACAGACTGTGTTTGTGTTTCGGTGGAGAGCTGTATAGCCTACTGTGACAGACTGTGTTTGTGTTTCGGTGGAGAGCTTATAGCCTACTGTGACAGACTGTGTTTGTGTTTCGGTGGAGAGCTGTATAGCCTACTGTGACAGACTGTGTTTGTGTTTCGGTGGAGAGCTGTATAGCCTACTGTGACAGACTGTGTTTGTGTTTCGGTGGAGAGCTGTATAGCCTACTGTGACAGACTGTGTTTGTGTTTCGGTGGAGAGCTGTATAGCCTACTGTGACAGATTGTGTTTGTGTTTCGGTGGAGAGCTGTATAGCCTACTGTGACAGACTGTGTTTGTGTTTCGGTGGAGAGCTGTATAGCCTACTGTGACAGACTGTGTTTGTGTTTCGGTGGAGAGCTGTATAGCCTACTGTGACAGACTGTGTTTGTGTTTCGGTGGAGAGAGCTGTATAGCCTACTGTGACAGACTGTGTTTGTGTTTCGGTGGAGAGCTGTATAGCCTACTGTGACAGACTGTGTTTGTGTTTCGGTGGAGAGCTGTATAGCCTACTGTGACAGACTGTGTTTGTGTTTCGGTGGAGAGCTGTATAGCCTACTGTGACAGACTGTGTTTGTGTTTCGGTGGAGAGCTGTATAGCCTACTGTGACAGACTGTGTTTGTGTTTCGGTGGAGAGCTGTATAGCCTACTGTGACAGACTGTGTTTGTGTTTTCGGTGGAGAGCTGTATAGCCTACTGTGACAGACTGTGTTTGTGTTTCGGTGGAGAGCTGTATAGCCTACTGTGACAGACTGTGTTTGTGTTTCGGTGGAGAGCTGTATAGCCTACTGTGACAGACTGTGTTTGTGTTTCGGTGGAGAGCTGTATAGCCTACTGTGACAGACTGTGTTTGTGTTTCGGCGAAAATAATTCATTTGTGTGTTTCATGTTATGCTGATGTTACTCTGCAGTAACGCACCTGGCGAGATACAGTGAAATATGCCCGGCAATCAGTTGTGCAATTTATTGTTTTGTGTCCGCATTATTGAAAAAACTGCAAATCTCTGGCTGATAGTATGGGTTTTTGCCCTCTACTGTACCAGTTTAACAATTTCTTACGACACGTTTCTCTACCTTAGATACTGGCTTTACGGAGAGTCTCGGCGGCCAAGTGAAGCAGGATGACCTCGTGTACTGAAGGTTGCGGGTTCGTTTCACGGACTACGACGTTCGGTTGAGAAGTGAAGCATTTTTACTGCGATCCCTGCGGATCGTCGCTAGGTCTACACAGCTCGTGCTTCGTGCCACGCTCTCGATGGAAGGCTATCTGTTCTGTGAAGAGACGCCTGGCCACATGCGATGAGATCTGACTCTTCAACTAAAAGATTTTTTTTACGCATCTAGACGCATTGTGCGTATTGGGCTCCGTCTATATTTTTAGACCAATCAGTACTTGTTGGGTGGTGATGTCAGCATCACGCCGGCCGCCTTTACTACCCAGGGCTATAACTGGTACTCCCTTACTCCTTGGTCGGCCTGGAAGCCAAGATTATTTTTTGAAGAAAAAAAAAAAAAGTCCAGCACCGTTTGGTTTTGAGCCAGGGACCTTTGGATCCTCATGACATGTTGCCTGTAGATTTCTGCAGGCTTAATATATTCTATTCACAGATTTCTGCCCAGTTCTGTACGGATGACCGTAAGCAGTCAGACAGTCTTCCTAGAGGTGTCTGTTTCTTCCACATGAAGAAATCTGGCCACATTTACATTTATTTGCCTGTCTGTTTGACATGCCTTTATTTGCCATTAAGGGTATTATTTCTGGCTCAGTTTTCACGCAAAGTTCTTCCCATTTATATTTTAACTAATTCTTGATCTTCTAAATCTATTTAAACTACCCACCGTCTTCACAATGAGGGTTGGTTACACCGCTGTCTATGGGAATCTGACATAGTGAGACTCCAATTTCTTCCACGGTGCCACTCTCCAACTACTGTCGAACAACCACTAGAACGGCCTTTTCCTACATCCATTGTATATCACAATCAGAGCTGACATCTTGACACTAAACCAGGCTATGGCCACATCCGGTTCGTTAAATCTCTCAAAGTCAGCCATGCTGTCAGCCTTTAGAATAGAGGTTCCTAACATTTTCTCACGTGGCGCTAACCTCGAGTTTATGGCAGTTTATGGGAACCATTGCTCGACATGTATTTAGATCTTTTTCTACTTTCGTTATCTCCTGTTGTGTCTATCGTTGTGTCTATTCGTTGCTTTATCGTTCGTTCGGGGTACGATGTATTACCGTCCGGTGTTAACATGGTTAAATGGTCTGCGACTAACGATCCGACTTGCCCGTTGTGTAAAGCGAAGCAAACTCTAGAATACGTCCTGTCCGCGTGCAGGAAAGCCCTAGGTCAAGGCCGATATACCTGGCGACACAACAAGGTGCTAAAAGAGTTAGCAGCCGTTGTTGACCAGGCTAGAATGAGGGCTAACGCCAGAGCCAGTTCTACCATCGTCCCCATTCGTTTCCTCAAGGCTGGACAGGTTCCAAAAAGTAAGGTCAACCAAAACGCATTCGCTCCATCTGTGCTAGACTCTGCGAGGGACTGGTTACTGGCGGTTGATCTGCCGGGCCATGAAAGGTACCCCGAGTTGATCCGGAAGACCGGCCTGCGACCTGACATAGTTCTCCACTCTGCGCAAAAACGGCAGCTCATCCTGATTGAGTTGACCGTCCCGTATGAGTCGCGTATGGAAGAGAATCACACGTATAAGCTCGAGAAATACAGTGATTTAGCAGCCGGTCTGAGGAGAAACGAGGCGTACACAGTACGGGTCTTTGCCGTCGAAGTGGGAGCGAGAGGCCTCGTTTCCACTTCGCTCTACAATGTGGTTAAAGAACTAGGATTGCGCGGTAATGAACGGAAACGAACACTCAAAAAACTGGGCGAGGTAGCCGAAAGGGCCTCGAGCTGGCTTTGGACGCAACGCAACAACGTAGGGGACGGGCCTCGGTGAGCTGGTCCGGGTGTCTAGCGGAAAAGGGTTTCTCACCCCTTGAAAGTCCATCGTGTCCGAATTGTCTGCCAGTGATCCTCTGCCACCTGCTAATAAAAGTCCAGCATGTGTCCGATAAACCATCCTTCACACAGCTCGCTCTACCGCCCGATAACGCAGACGTACCAGCCAATTGTTACTCGTTTGTCTAGTGAACTGAGGAGGAAGCACGCTTGGGTGTTCTTTTCAGAATACTCTAACAAGCCTTGCCTACTCCGAAGGTACCTAGCTTTCGACAGCAGCCTTTGAAGTACCGCCTCTGCCAGCCAGCCACAGCCACACGAAACCATGACCCGTGGCAAGAAGATCCCGACCCAACACCGGGAAACCAGGTCGACCTCTGCCAAGAAGGAAGATGAGCCTGTCCACGCACCAGCCCCAACGGTGCCGACAGTGCCAGAACCGACCGACGACCCAGAAGAGACGCCAGCCTCACACACCCAGACGCCGCCAGCCCTGGATATATGCCATATCGACGCTCCTGTACACCTAGAAGCCGCCCCATTCGTGGCGCAGGAACCGACCAACACCCGCCCACTCAGGCAGCAGCAGCAACGACCGGGAGCCTACACCACAGAAATTCTGCAGTGCTCCCGCTGTAACAAGGCGTGGCATTCTGCCTCGTCATGCCGCAGCAACCAGTCGTGCCGTTACTGTTCCGGCCCACACCTATTCGGGGAATGCCCTCTGGCAAAAGTGGACCCTGACTTTAAAAAACCAAACGCAAGCAGAAGATGTTCTAATTGCTCCGGTGCACACAGCGCCAGGTACATGGGTTGCCCGTACCTGAAAGAAGTCAACAGAGCGATGGCGAAAACCACCACCAGGACCACACACAACCCAGAGCCGAAACAAAGATATCAGGCGCCCAGTCCGACAGCCGTGAACAACAACGTCATTACGCAGTTGAGAAACGAAATCAAAGCCCTGCGAGAAGAGAACACAAGAATCAGGGCACTCAGGACTCAAGACAGGGACGAGATGATTGACCTGAGAAGCATCCTACTGGCATCACTCGAGACCCAGAGAAGGCTAGAGAAAGAAACGGCAGAAATGACGACATTTAGAATCGACTTGATGGCAAATCTAACTGACCTCAAGAAGATGAAAGAAGCAAATGCCGCAGCCGCAAAAGAACTGGAGGACAGCCACAAAAACCTAATGTCTGAGGTCTCCACCATCAAAAAAGACCTGACAGAAACAAAAGCAAAGATCACCAAAGTCAGTAAGGCGAACGAACAAGTGGAGAAAGACCTAGCAGCCACCAACATCGTAATTGAAGCTCGGGAGGAGGCCAGGAAATCAGCAGCCAGAAGAAGTCAGATTCAAGCGGCAAAACCCCAGGCCAAGACTCAAGGAGAACCAGAGGAAGAGAGTGCGGAAAATGAGATAGAAGCCCTTGAGACCTCCATCAAAGAAATGCGGGCGAGGTACAAACAGGTCATGCACCCGCACGTAATCGAATTCATCAAGGGCGAGTACAAGGTCCAGTTCTGCAGGGAAGCATTGGCGAAGGAGGGCCGAATACCATCCGGACCAGTTAGAACCAGACGCATGAGTTTCATGGTAATGCGCGACCAACTCAATGCAGCCTATGATAAACTCTGCAAGGCTAAAGAACTACAAGAAACGACCGATGAACCCAAAGCAATCAGCCAACCAGAACTGCCCTAGCCGCCATGACACCTGCCAAAACCCAGCTCACCGGACCGGAAAGCCCACCTGCGCAACAGTCCCGCCCACTCCCCTCAGCCAGACCTACGCCCACCCACCACCTCACAGGCCGTGCCAGGCATACACCTCTAGTCCTTCTCAGGACTAGCAAACCACCAAGCCCGACTCAAGCCACAGTTGCATGAACAGCAAGGAACCCTACAACCAGACGAGAGACAACGTCACACCAAAGCAGTAAATCAAAAACCGCAAAGAAACCAGGACGCAAATAAAACCAAGCCCCAGAGGCAGGTTGAAGCCGTCCAAAGTTTTTCATTTTTTTTTTTCGATTTCAAGCGATAAACCAAACGTAAGCTTGTCGCTCGGTCGTCCAGGCATGCTGACTGTTCTAATTAGGCTGCCGCAACGACTTCTTATCTCACATTACCTTCTGCGAAACCACCAAGTCGTCTTGTCCCTATCCGAAAGAAAACACCATCCGGTAATCTCGTGCAGCAGGGTACCAGCCCTGAGCTTCATGAACTCAGGTGGGCCCACCTCCGAAAGCTTCTAGGAATCGTGGGCCGAAACGCTTGTCGACGAGGATAATTTCTACTGACGACTGGTAGATCCCTGCTGTACTTGCTCCCTGTGAGTTTATTCCTATCCTATCGTTGCGCTAACTTCGAGTTTATGGCAGTTTATGGGAACCATTGCTCGACATGTATTTAGATCCTTTTCTACTTTCGTTATCTCCTGTTGTGTCTATCGTCCAAATGTCATACACGACAAGCTAGAGAGTAGCAGGCTTTCTATTTCATCGTTGATGGGGGTTCGAATCTGCTGTATCTTATCTTTTTCAGGTGTCATCTGCGCATTAAAGGTAAACAGTAATGAGCTTTTAACACTTCGGTGTCGGGGTCTCTATAGTCCATCAGTAGCAGGCTGGGCCAGTCTTCTATCACTTGATCTTGTCCACCCCCGTATGTAATGTTGCCTTTATCCACATCCATCCACCCACACTTTCATCCACACCTCCATCCACTCATTCACAAACTCTAGTGCGCCAACACACACACTCACACTCACTCACTGATACACACTGCCTACCTACCTGTCTAATTACCTATACACGCAGACAAGCAGGCTGACACACGCTCACTTACATACATACATACAAACACTTAAAATAGGTTTTCCTAATGAGAGACCTCACAGAGGGCAAAGACACGAAAGAATTCCCCGGAGTGTCTCATTCCCTCGTTCTATTTGAGCTTTGTTTGGTTGCCATATGAAAATAGTCATCGACTGACTGATCCTGGTCAAATGTTGAATGTTTGGTCAAATGGTTTTTCTCTGTTGACCAACTGGACGCCTTCATTTATCGGGGTCAGCCTAAGTCAAGAAAATGGTCGTCTAAGTGGTGAAATAGTTTCTAAAGAAGTATTATCGGCAACAATGTCCTTGCGCAGAACGACCTCGTTATTCATCGTGGTATTTAACAACCGACTTTGCTTGCTTTACGGCGGGTTTATGTTAACTGCTTTATGTTCGTAAACTGTGAAATGTATCAGTCGTTTATTAAAGAAAACGACAGTTATACAATATTGTTAGCTCTCTGGACTGCAGGCTGGTTTCGTTTGCACAAGGCTGGGGAACCAATGGTGGGCACCAGTTTCCTGTCTAGCTTTTGCCTATTTCTTTCACATATTGCCTTTACCTTTCATATTACCTGATCGATTCTTCTTGATTTGTCTCGGTAAAAGTGGTTCTAAAGTAAATACTGCCATGGTGGTGTCCACTGTTATTTCTTCACGCATTCAAGGTTATGAAATAATAGGGGGGGGGGGGGAGCCATCAGTCCCAAGGCAAGCAGGCAAGGAGAAAGTAGGGGAAAGAAAGAGTGCGTGTGAGAGAGTGAGTAACAGACAGCAAGAGTGAAAGACAGCGGGAGAGAGAACAAGAACGAGAGAGAGAGAGAGACAGTGTGGGAATGTGATAGTGAGAGACAGTGAGGGTGAGAGATAGGATGAGAGAGAAAATGTGGGACAGACAGACAGACAGACAGACAGACAGACAGACAGACAGACAGACAGACAGACAGACAGACAGACAGACAGACAGACAGACAGACAGACAGACAGACAGACAGACAGACAGACAGGCAGACAGACACAGACAGACAGACAGACAGACAGACAGACAGACAGACAGACATAACCCACCTGAACAAGGTGACTGTATAAGGTTCATCCTACCAAAAACCGATGAGGTCATGATCATGATAGCAGCCGTCATAAGCGTGGTTGCCATCTTGGCCGGGTCCTGACTGCTGCCTATAGAGATCCAATCCGTTACTGGGGTATTAGAACACGACATTAGAACAGGGCATTAAAACACGACATTAGAACACGACATTAGAACACTGAACAATCACAGGACACTAACGATTTTAACAATCAGAAGAGGACACTTACAATCAGAACGTTTGAAAGAAGATACTAAAGCAACTGAGCGGGAACCTGGAATCTTAGGTTCATCCAAACAGCCACCTAGGTTCCCCCCCCCCCCCCCACTCCCACCCAGTAATTGAGGTGAGCTGTAAGTTGGAAGCGGTTTATTTTAAACACCAATCCATCCACGTCACAAAACTTGAAATCACTTCGAATATAATAAACTGTGATACCAGTCTACCTTAATGATACTGTCTTGTCTGAGTTCGTCCTAACTTAGAATAACAGTTAGCAAGCTAGTGGGCTTCACGTCTGAGCATACGTGTTATCAAGAACGACGTAATGTGCTTCCTGGCTATAAATAACAATGCAGGGTTGGGTCAGAAATACTATTTAAGGCGATGGGAAGTCTTCACATAAGCAACAGACCTGTCAACAAACATAGACATTTTCTGTAACAGTAATTGCTTACATATTTAATATGTTTTCCAGTATTTTAATTATTATATTTATTTGCCATTTAGCACAACAATACTTCTAATAATCATAGAATAATAACAATGGGGGTCTGATAAGATCGGAACCCACACCATATGGTTGAGGTGGGATTGGGCCTGCCTCCTCAGTTTTTTTCCTTTCTGGCAGGAGGTGCTAACGCTCCCTGTCCCCCTCTCCCAACCCAATTTTTAACTATAAAATTTGTAAGTCGGGGAATGGGGGGAAAAGGGGGGGGGGGGGATTTATGTCGCCCAATGTTTTATACGCGGCAGCGCGCCTGCAGAAGACAAGGAACGAATGAACGAACTTATTTTCATAGGATTACAAATTGGTCACGCAGGCCTGTCTGACATTAGGAGCTGCCATCTGGCCCTTTTAGGGAGGAAGCTGGTATGTAGCATCACACACAACACACACACACACACACACACACACACACTGGCGTGCGCGCGCATAAGTCTGAGACAGAAAATTGTACACGAGAAGCCAGGCAGTAGTTGAGCATGCAGCGATGCAATTAAATAAACAGAGAGACCCATACAAAAAAAAAAAGAAAGACAGACAAATAAATAGACAGAGATATATAAATAAATTAGCAGGCAGATAGACAGACATGGATAGTTAGACAGACAACTAGGTAAACATGCAGAGCCAGAAAAAAAAAAATAAATACAAAATAAAAAGACTGACATTCAGAGATATAGCAAATTTTTTTAGAAAAACAGACCGAGAAACGGAAATATAAATAGAGTTCAATAGAGAAAGATAATTAGATACAGCTCTCTTCTATCTTCAGGCTGCTATAGTGTACAGAGTTCGTCGCATGAAGTAAGGGACGTTAACATTTTATGAAGTAAGGGACGTGACCATTACATAAAGTAAGTGACGTGACCATAGAATAAAGTAAGGGACGTTGCCGTCTCATGAAGTAAGGGACGTGACCATAGAATAAAGTAAGGGACGTTACCATCTCATGAAGTAAGGCACGTTACCATCTCATGAAGTAAGGGACGTTACCATCTCATGAAGTAAGGGACGTTACCATTTCATGAAGTAAGGGACGTTACCATTTCATGAAATAAGGGACATTACCATCTCATGAAGTAAGAGATGTTACCATCTTATGAAGTAAGGGACGTTACCATTTCATGAAGTAAGGGACGTTAGCATTTCATGAAGTAAAGGACATTACCACACCACGAAGTAAGGTTATATACGTTTACGTCCTCCTTAGGACGTTATTTTTTGTTATTTGAAGCCCCACTCTGGCTTTTGCCAGGGGCCGTAATATAGGCAGGTCATCATTATGGCCAAATGTCTGAACGCGGTTTCTGGGACCTCTCCACGGTGATCCTCATCCGCATGGTGGCACTTTGTGTCATCGGGTGTTTATCGCTTGTGTGATGTCCTGGTGGGGTAAAAAGCCAATCCAACGAAGTAAGGGACGTTAATATCTACATGAAGTAAGGGATGTTACCATCTTATGAAGTAAGGGACGATACCATCTCATGAAGTAAGGAACGTTACCATTTCATGAAGTAAGGGACGTTACCATCTCATGAAATAAGGGACATTATTAATTTACAAAGTCAAGGTCAATACAATTACACAAAGTAAGGAATCATCTCCTCGTCCTTTTCAGGATGAAAATTTTAGTTATTTGAAGCCCTACTCTAGCTTTTGCCAGCGGCTGCAATATAGCCCAGTCATAATTATGACCTAAAGGCTGAAGGCGATTTCTGGGACCTCACCCACATGGTGGCATTTTGTGTCATCGGGTGTTTATCGCTTGTATGATGTCCTGGTGGGGTGGAAAGTCAGTCAGTCAGTCAGTCACGGATAAGAAATTATTCGCCTGTGTCGTCGTCCGCACGTAACTCCGTAGCTACAGCGACGTTCATGCTAGAGTGTTAATTAAGGTACATATTTCCTAGAAGCTGGGTGAACCTTGGGAACCGACCATTTTCGAACACCAAACGTGGACAGCAGCGAGTCGCGGCTGGATTTGAAAGCGAGACTCCTATCGACTGCGCTAACGCGGCTCCCGTAAATTGCATGAAGTAAGGGTCGTTAGCATCTCATGAAGTAAGGAACCTGCCTTCAAATCGCTAACACTAAAGCAAATAGTTAAGCCATTATTCCCAAACCGCAATCTATTTCACTGTATTGTTGGCCTCAGTCACTTACTAATTCATTGCATAGGTCGAAACAAACATCCATACTGTCGTCATCATCATCATTATCATCTTCATATGGCAGACCTTTTGCAGAACGTTCCTTTCATTACAACCTGCCTGTGGGCAACTCTCGCCAGCTCTCTCTTATACCCCATGCTCACCTTCGTGTCGGTCGATCGCTGCTTCTCTTTCCTGATACCATGCCGTCTGCTACTATTCCTTCCAATCCGCCATGACACTTGATATGGCCATGCTATTTCAGTTTCCAAGACAAGATGGTTTTTACTAGCCAATCTTCCTTGACGCTCAGATCTTTTAAGATGTCAGTATTTCTATCCTTCTTGGCCCATCGTTTTTGATAATCTTACTATATAATTTCAGCTCAAAAGGCCCTTTCTGCCTTAAAGACTGGATGTCCGGATTTCTATACTTCTTGGCCCATCGCTTTTTGAGAATCTTTCCATATAATTTCAGCTCTAAAGGCCCTTTCTGCTTAATGACTGAGATGGTCCACGATTCCCATTCGTATGATGCAACAGCAAAGATACATGCTCTTACAATTTTGACTTTAATTTCCTTGCTGGTGCTGAACCAGAGACTTGTAATGCTTATTATTATTTCTTGTTCGTGGACAGCTGGCCGACTAGTTTCTTGTTTGTGGACAGCTGGCCGACTAGTTTCTTGTTTGTGGACAGCTGGCCGACTAGTTTCTTGTTTGTGGACAGCTGGCCGACTAGTGAATAATTATTTGGAAGCTGCGAATATGTGGTTTTATTGAAGAATGATGGGAATTCTCTGGGCAGATAAAAAGAGTAATGAAGCTGTTATGAAAGAAAGTGACACAAGAAGAGAACTCACTGCCCATATCAGAAGCAGACCGTCTTCGTTCTTTGGTCACGTGATGAGAAGAAGATAACTGGAGTACATGGTGACAGTAGGAAGGTTGGAGGAGGAAGAGAGACAAAGGGGGACAGAGAGAGAAGATACTCACAGTCAGACATCATGGTATGGAGGATCATCTGTTCAGAGTTGACTGAAAGTACACGAGCAGGAGGTTGTGGACAGACATGACTACTAACGATGGGCTTTAAGACTGTCGATACAGGAGACAGAAGGTTGTGGACAGACATGACTACTAACGATGGGCTTTAAGACTGTCGATACAGGAGACAAAAGGTTGTGGACAAACATGACTACCACCGTCACACGGTAGGGACTACAAGAGAAAGAACATACGTTTCCAATAGCCGTCC